AACACACACACACACACACACACACACACACACACACACACACACACACATACACACACACGCGCGCGCGCGCGAGCCAGGCAAAGCACCCACAGAGAGAAAAGGGTGAGAGGAGGAAGGAAAGGGTGACAGATAGACAGAGAAAGAAAGAAAGAAAGAAAGAGAGAAAGAAAAAAAGAAAAAAAGAAAGAAAGAAAGAGACCAAAATCAGTGCCAACACCTTTTTTTGCGCCAGCCCAAAACATACAACCAGGAGACCTCCAGGAGCGGCTCACTCAAGCGTGCACAGAACCATTGGTCGTTACATAAACAGTTCTGCAGGATCTTGGTTCTACTCTGCTCTAAAGGCACACAATGCGTACTTTCATAAATAGGTCATCATGACGAGCAAAGCTACGGTCTTTTAGTTCTTGTAACAGTTTTAGAGTACTTGCAACGTCACAATAAGGTCATACAAGTGTTGAAGATTAGAGGTGCTTTTAGTTTTAGTAAGAGTTTTAGGGCACTTGCAACACAATACGGTTATAGAAGTGTCGAAGATTAGAGGTGGGTTTTTTAAAATTAGTTTTAGTAGGAATTTTAGGGCATTTGCAACACAAAAAGGTTATAGATGTGTCGAAGATTTCAGGTGGGTTTTTTAAAATTAGTTTTAGTAGGAATTTTAGGGCTCTTGCAACACAACGTCATATTATCAGCTTCGAAGATTAGAGGTGTTTTTTAACTTACGTGAAGGTTTTACGGAACTTGCAACACAATAAGGACATATACGTGTTGAAGATTAGAGGTGTTTTTAATTTTAGTAAGAGTTTTAGGGCACTTGCAGCACAAGAAGGTTAAATAAGTGTCGAAGATTAGAGGTGCTTTTAGTTTTAGTTAAAATTTCACGGCACTTGCAACACAATATGGTCATATAAGGGAAAAAGGTTTGAGGCGTTACAAGAGTGTAACGAACACAAAAAAGGAGGAGAGTTAGTAAAGTATAGTATAGTATAGTATAAGGTTTTACGGCGCTCGCAACTGCTAAGGTCATATGAGCGCGCGAAGAGGAGAGTTAAGGACGATAGATGTTTCATATATATATATATATAGGAAGAAAGGAGCAAACCACACCAGAGCACCCACCAATCACCAGCAAAGCTAAGATCTGTGGGTCACAGCAAGTTCCGAAGTAAAAACAAAAAGTTGTAGTTCTCGTTTGTTTCAATAATAAGGGTTTTACGGTACATACATTTGCAACACAATCAGGTCGTACACATGTACGTGCCAAAGACTAAAGGCGTTCCGTGAGAATGTGAGTTCGTTATGTTTTGTTTCAGTTAAGAAAAGCACATCGACACAATAATGGTCATTTAGTGTAGGGAAAAAGCAAAAGTTTAGTTTTAGTCTAAGAGTTTTGCGGCACTTGCAACAAAATAAGGTCATATAAGTGCTGAAGATTAGAGATGGTATAAGTGAGTAACAAACACAAAATAGAAGGAGGGGAGATAAGGACGGTAAGAAAAAGAGCAAAGTACACCAGAGCACCCACCAACCACCCATAACCAAATGTCTATGGATCGCAGCAGGTTCCACTGTTCAAACGTGTAGTTGTGTAGCAGCTGTTACACTTATGAGTACAATGAAAACAGCACATTCAAGCCAGTGTGGTACAATGATAAATTAGATAAGTTCAGTTTAGTTTGGATTGGTTTGGTTTTGTTTAGTTCAGTTCAGTTTAGTTTGTTTTGTTTTAGTAGAGGTTTTACGGCGCTCGCAACTGCATAAGGTCATATGACCGCCAGAAGATTAGAAGTGTTACAAGAGAGTAAAAAACATAAAAAATAAGAAGGGGAGATAAGGACGATAGATGTTTGATAGGAAAGAAGGAGCAAACCACACCAGAGTACCCGCCAACCACCCACTACAAGAGAGTAACAAACATAAAAAGAAGAAGGGGAGATAAGGACGATAGATGTTTGATAGGAAAGAAGGAGCAAACCACACCAGAGCACCCGCCAACCACCCACTTAGTTTAGTTTTACGGCATCTACAACAGAAATAAGTCGTATAAGTGCCGAAGATTAGAGTGGGGTGTTTTAGTAAGAGTTTTACGGCACTTGCAACACAATTAAGTCACACAGGTGCCGAAGATTAGAGGTTTTACAAGTACAAGAGAGTAACAAACGCAAAACAAGAGGAGAAATAAGGACGACAGATGTTTGACTCAAAAGAAGGAGCAAACCGCCCCAGAGCACCCGCCAATCACCCATTCATTCAGTTCGCATTAACTCAAAAACAAACGAAGCAAAAGAGGCAGACAACTAGCCTAACGAACGATAATTGACCATCTGCTGAGAGAGAGAGTGCGAAAGAGAGAGAGAGAGAGAGAGAGAGAGAGAGAGAGAGAGAGAGAGAGAGAGAGAGAGAGAGAGAGAGAGAATATAAGATAGGTGGTGTGAGCATTATATCATGATACAATTATGTGGTGTGTATGAGTGTATATATGTATGTGCACATGTGTGTATGGGGGGGATGAGAGAGAGAGACAGACAGACAGACAGACAGACAGACAGACAGACAGACAGACAGACAGACAGACAGACAGACAGACAGACAGACAGACAGACAGACAGACAGACAGACAGACAGACAGAGAGCGAGTGGAGGAGACTCTGACATGGACAGAGAAGGAGGACGGGGGAATATTATGAGGGAGAAACTAGGTGAGCAATTCTACTCAGAGCCACACAAAAGCACAATTACAAATGGTCGCTTTTAAAGACAAGCGGGCTAACCCAGATTTTGGGGGTTTCCAGCAATCTTGATCTACACCAAAAGTGAGCATTGCCCTACTTATGGGAGAAGATTGGTTCCATCGGTGTGTATATTTGTTTGGTTATAGAGAAAACTCTCCTTGTATTTTAAAGAAACTGAACAAGGGGCAAAAACATTACCTTCGATTTTCTCAAAACAGCATTTTTCGGGATAGCCCCTTTGAGCTTAAAAGCGACCACACACCGACTGCCTTGCAGCGCACGTGCCGACAAACCGCAGGTTATTATTTTCTTCTGCCTCATCTCTATTCTACTTTCTCGGTCTTTTATACGTATTGACAACGTACAAGTTTTACATGGTTTCCTTTGTTGAGTAAAGGAAAGCACATCGACACAATAATGGTCATTTAGTGCAGGGAAAAAAGTCAGTTTTTAGTTTTAGTAGAGGTTTTGCGGCGCTCGCAACTGCATACGTAAAGGTCATGTGAGCACCAGAAGATTAGAGGTGTTACAAGAGAGTAACAAACATAAAAAAGAAGAAGGGGAGATAAGGACGATAGATCTAGATGTTTGATAGGAAAGAAGGAGCAAACGACACCAGAGCACCCGCCAACCGCCCACAGGGGGAAAAAAAGGTCAGGGAGACAGAAACAACAGAGGGAAAGAAAAGAAAAAAACATATGACCTACCAGTGGCGCCCTCCGGCCACCCGCGTTTTTTTATACATGAATCGAAGCCTTACGACAAGCTTGTGAAAAGATAGGCACAGGTAATATTTATATAGATATCTAGTTGTTTTTTTAACATAGCTTTTATATTATTTGTCGGCTGGGTTATCGGTTTAACGAAAATTGCGTCTTATCAGCTGAGTTATATTTAGAATAGACCTTAAGTGAAAACATATATAGGCTACAGAAATGCTAACTAAAAGTTTGAAAACAGCGTTCCTGCAGATCACTTTTCAAAATATACTTCTTACAACAACAAAAAAAACTTTCAGCGGCAGCGATTTATTCTCATTCAAACTCACTTCATGCAAGTAGGTCTTGAACGGAAACAGCTTTTAGTTTTATAAGAGTTTTATGGTACTTGCAACACAAATAGGCCATAGTGTCGAAGAGAGGTGTTACCATACAAGATGGGAACACAATATTATAAAGAAAACAAGGAGGAGAGATGATGACTATAAATGTTTGACAGGAAAGAAGGAGTACTCCACACCAGCACACCCGCCAACCACCCGATAGACAGCCTTCAACAACCACACCATAGACGCCCGGAGAGTAAAAAAAAACACCCACACGAGAAATAGGCCCTACCATTCCCTCTCTTCCTCGTGCCAATACAGCGACGTCTTCCATCCAACCACCTCCTTCGTTTCACCCCGAAATTTCTGCACGCTGCACGAATGGGATTCCACGAGTGTAGGTATAACATCTATGTGCAACACCTAGGCTGCCAATTTCGCAGATTCCGTGCCAAAGGTCAAAATTCAGGCAATTTATAAAGACGTTTAGAGGGAAGAAAGTCATTGGCAGTTTTACCATATTATATTATTTCTTAACTTCTGTTTCATTATTCTTATCAAAGGCAATATATTATGCAAATCCCTCAACGTCTATTAATATTTGCCATGCCCAATGATGGCGGATAAAAGTCGACTTTTACATCGTGTAAAACATACGCATTAAAAAAAACATATTTTTCAAAAACTCGACCTCGGTGGAGTTTGTCAGTTTTATTCAAGTTTTAGCAGTTTTCTGTTCGTTGATTTTTAAAAAAAACCAATTTGGCTAGAAACCAGATTAATGATCTGACAACTCTGTGCAAAACACACACACACACACACACACACACACACACACACACACACACACACACAACCACACACACAACCACACACACACACACACACACACACATTTTGGCCCGTACTTCGGAAAAGACGTGTGTGCAGAGTTCTTTCATAGAGGTTACCAGCAACTAATACCAATTTATTGTCCTGATCGTACCTTACTCTCCTATAACACCTCTAATCTTTGGCAATAATATAATGACATTAATGCGTTGCAAGTTACTATCTCAGAATTACAAAGTTCTACCTGATATTTTTGGCTGTTTTGAGTTACTAAGACCATGAGGTCAGGAGCCAAATTATGTTCTATCGTGCTCTATCAAAATGGTAAGATGATTCTATTCGGAGTCGTTATCAAAGAATTGCATTCGAAAAAGCTTGACATGATGTGCAATTCAAAATCTTCCTAGTCAAATTTCTCAAAACTAGGTACTGAGCAGAAGGAACTTTGTAATTCTGATGCAGCGAAGTGTCGCAAAACTCTATAACTAACACTAAACCAAACAGTCAACGTTTCACCAGAGAGGCTGGTTTCACTCCACTTTCCGACACGTTAGCTGCACGCAGCCTGTATGAGTATGAACAAAAGTCGGTCGGTGGAGGTCCTGTCCTTACTTTTCGTCGCCTTCAGGCGGGCACTGACTGCTCTAACCTACTCTGTGTACTCATCCTGCTCTCCTACTGGAGGTGGGGGGAAAAAACTGATAATCTATCCGGATAACCGGATAATTCTCAAATAAACATTATCCGAATTCAGACTCTTCTAGCTCTCTTTCCTGACCCGTTTGCCGAGTTGGGTGCACACATTATATTTGTTGAAGCGGTTCTAACCCGTTTTTTTTAAAAGTTGTTCTTAGTTCTAACCCATCTACCGAAGTGGTTCATGACACGTTTGCCGAAGAGGTCCACTAACATTATTTATATCATCCGGATTTTGCAACAGCGATTCATTGCCCAGTTTTACCTCTTACCTGCTATTGCATCAACCGCCATGCACGACGCACATTTCTGTCGCGTGACCTATTAACACAGAATGTGAGCAAATTTGGGAGCGACGCAAAGGCCACGCAGCATCAACAACAACAACAAACTAAACTCAAAGGTCATACGGCAAACAGTGAGCCAAGTGAGAAAGTGAAAGAGAGAGAGAGAGAGAGAGAGAGAGAGAGAGAGAGAGTGTGTGTGTGTGTGTGTGTGTGTGTGTGTGTGTGTGTGTGTGTGTGTGTGTGTGTGTGTGTGTGTGTGTGTGTGTGTGTGTGTGTGTGTGTGTGTGTGTGAGGGTGTAGAGAGAGTGTATGAGTATGAGCAAAAGTCGGTCGGTGGAGGTCCTGTCCTTACTTTTCGTCGCCCTCAGGCGGGCACTGACTGCTCTAGCCTACTCTGTATACTCATCCTGTGTGTGTGTGTGTGTGAGAGAGAGAGAGAGAGAGAGAGAGAGAGAGAGAGAGAGAGAGAGAGAGAGAGAGAGAGAGAGAGAGAGGAGGGGGGGAGAGGAGGGGAAGAGGGAGGAGCCGTTCCCGTTAGAAATCCTAAAAACGCGTAAGTATGAGAAAAGAACGGGGCTTTCCTTTGCATACACAAGAGAAGAATACCTATAAATGGAGAGTCATAAAAAAGCAGCATAAAATTCAGACGGCAAAAATAAAAAAAATACATTTTAAAAAAACAACCAAAAAAACGCGTAACCGCTGCCATAATGATTCAGAACAGCCCTATCCTTCTCGTTTCTCGATAATGCATTCCGTTTAGGAAGCAAATGTTGATATAGCCATAAACTGGATGCGTTTGTCAAACCCCCATATAATGCGCGGAAACATTCACTCCCCTGTGAAAGGAAATGTTCAGCTTGTTCCGTCCGCACACTTAGCCAGGTCAAAACAAACAAACAAACAAAACACAAAACAACAAAATAAAAACGACGCCTGCGTCTGTTGGCCGCATTTTGCTGCTCTTTTATGGCAAGTTGTTTTACGGTGCTCACAACTACATTATCAGTTTGGTAGGAGTTAATTTTGAATTTTGCCCGGGTGGCGGCCGAAGCCTACTCTTATTATCAATTTTAGGACCATTAACGCGCGCAACTTGCACACAAGACCTTCAAGGTTTTTCAACCCTTATCCGAGAGGGCTAGGTGTTAGATTTTACCTACCCTTAGATCAGGGGTGTAGCTGGAAGAAAGCAGTAAGGAACCAAAGAGTAGCAGTAGAAAGAATTATGAGCCAAAAAGAGATGGCAAAGGGTGAGGCAGTAAGTGGATGCGGAAACAGACGACAGAACATAATTAGAAAGCAGGATAGGTGAAAGGAGAATTTATTTAAGAAGAAAATTTTTCATTACTGTCAGGTTTCGAAACCGGCACCTATTGAATGAGGGAGAAATAATACCGTAACCTCTAGACCACGAGAGCCCTCGCATTTTACTGCTTTGGGCACGCTTTTTGGGGGCTTGGGTTGATGGTGTCTAGTTTCCCTCGAAATCATTACACACTGGTAGTTTGCTTGGTGAATTGACATTAGAGCTATAATATTCTTACGTTAAAATATCTGTAATAGTCTTTTTTTTTTCTTTTTTGTGTGTCCCCTGCTATGCGCTTGGCAAAACTCAGACTGGCATTTTAAAAAAAAAATCCTTTTTCCCCTTAACTATCCACTATTGTACCAATGATTTTTTTTAAATTATGTTGGTCTAGTTATACAGTGTGTTAGTAAGTGCTGATATGTTTTGCTTTTACTGCTGCCCATACGTGTATATATTTTAAGGTATGGTTGTGAAAGTTCTTCTTTATCTGGTTGTATAGGCAGTTCTTGTTACTGTGAAATATGTTCTCTTGTGTGTATCGCTCAGTGATCATGTGATTGACGCGAAGCGCACAGAGCTTAAACTAGTATGGGATAGAGCGCTATAAGAATGCAATCTATTATTAATATCATTATTTTGACAAAACATTGAAACGAAACAGAGATCAAAACAGACGGAGAGTGGGTACAGTTAAAGTTTAGTTTCGTTAAGAATTTTACGACACTTGTAACACAATACGTGCCGAAGATTAGAAGTGGTACAAGAGCGTAACATGTCATAAAAAGGAGAGATAAGAGCGATAGATGTTTAATAGGAAAGAAGGAGCAAACCACACCACAAAGTGTCTCCCCGTGCCCCCGCCCCCTCCCAAAAATAATAATAATTCAGGACGGAACTAAGTTTGTAGTAGCTGCAGTAGTATGAGGTTCTCGGAATAGGGGTTGCTGCAATAACAAGGAACCCCCCCCCCAAAAAAAAAAACCTCAAACAAAGCGAAACAAAACAAAACAAAAAAAACAACCAACAACACAAGGCTGACTCCCAAAGAGCAACCTCATAATAAACCGCTCAGCCAATACTTTTGGAAAGGCTTGGATGACCTTCAACAGGTGGCAATAAGGAGCTCTAGTCATTATTCTTATATATTCTTCTTGAAGTCTTGAAGGGCGAAAACATCTGCTCAAAGCGTCCGTCTATTTTGGAAGTCTGGGAGGAACTTGTGGCTTTCCATCCGGGCTACAAAGTTACAGACCATGGTTTTTGTTTTAATATGGGTTTTACGGCATTTGCAACACAGTTAGGTCATACAAGTGCCGAATAGTATAGGTGTTGCAGAAGAGTAGCAAACAAAAGAGGAGGGAAGTTTTAGTTTTTAGTTTTTAGTTTTAGTAGAGGTTTTACGGCACTTGCAACTGCATAGGTCATGTGAGCGCAAGAAGATTACAGGTGTTACAAGAGAGTTTTGTTTAGTAGAAGATTAGAGGCGTTACAAGAGAGTAACAAACATAAAAAAAGAAGGAGAGGAGATAAGGACGATAGATTTTTTAATAGGAAAGGAGAAGCAAACCACACCAGAGCACCCGCCAACCGCCTACTACGAGGGAGTAACAAACATAAAAAAGGAGGGGAGATAAGGACGATAGATGTTTGATAGGAAAGAAGGACAACCGGAGCACTCGCCAACCACTCACACAGACCAAGCATTTCAACACAAAGCTGGCCATCCAGTGTGAGAATGTTTTGTTTTAGTAGAGGTTTTACGGCGCTCGCAACTGCATAAGGTCATATATGAGCGCCAGAAGATTAGAGGTGTTACAAGAGAGTAACAAACATAAAAAAGAAGAAGGGGAGATAAG